CTAACTAAGGACAAACTTTATTTCACCTTTTGGATTATCGCCACAGTTCTGTATTTCACACAATCCTTTAAGCTACTGAATTAGTCTGAATTAGAAATTAATTTTGTGATTATGCACATCTGACATTCTGTTCTCTGGTTCTGCACATTGTGTGTCCAACTGTGTTCTTTAAATGTGCTGCTACACGGAGCAAGCCAAGAAAGTGCTGGCTTTGGATTTTTGCCTTGCCAATTACTGATTTGGATGTAATGACGCTTAACTTTTTTTGACCACACCAAATGTACAACATGGCTGCAAATGCTGAAAACCACTTGATTGTAATTCTTGACACACACTTCATATGAAGCTGATATGTTAATGTTTACTGTTAGATAAACACAGAACTAAATGAGACTGTATGAAGTAATATCACTTACTTCCTGTTCGTTTCAGACCCATATGATGATGACCTGAAGGTGAAGACTCAAAGGCCACGATCAGCTGACCTGCCAGGTGTGTTTCAGGCACAAACAGGTACGTGTTGAGAGTGTGAGGCAGTGTCCACATCCTGCAGCTGCTTGACGAGTCACATGTGTGTATGTGAGAAATAGTGTGAATTTAAATGATTAAATAATGAATTGCATTGGAAGAGATAGATTGAATTATTTATCATAAGTATCATTACAGATCTTGTGAATTTCACAATAAGCGACTTACATTATACCGTATACAAATAAGAAACTACATATGGCATGTTTTACCTTGAGTAGAAAGATGAGTTAATGTTGAGATAGAACCTATATGCTCAGGTTTCCATGTAAACAGCCCCCATTATGTGTAGGAGGGAGTCCCTACTGTGAGGAAAAGCCCCGGCTGTGTCTTGTCCTTCTCCCTAGCTCTCCTCCTTCCTTGCTTCTCCCCATTCTTCCATCCCTCCAGGCATGTGTGATGAGCTTAAGCCCTGACTCACGGCATGTTAATGAAGATGTAATGCGATTAACGGACATGCAATTAATTTGATTTCCTTCGTTGCCATGTGATGACGCCTTCACCAAAGGACATGGAGCTCATAAACAATTTAGAAGGAGACAATTTGAATGTCTTCAGTTGTTGATTTCAAGGGCATAACTGAGAGGAAACAATAGGAGACTCTTTACAGCTGCCTCAATAAGTTAAAATCAGCAGCAAGCATGCCTGCACGCCCCCGTCTTGAACGGGTGCTTGCATTCCTCCAGACACAGGTGTTTGGACTTACTTTCTTCAAGGATTTTTTTTTTTTTTTCTATAAAACATTTTTACAATTTGAACATATGAAAGACATGGCATTAACAGGATACACTTAGATTGTAAATTCAAGATTTGTTTTCACATTATGAGACAAACACAATGTGGGGAGTGGTGGTGCAGAGGTTAGAGAAGGTGGGCCTGTAATCGGAAGATCGCTGGTTCAAGCCCCGGTACTGACAACATCAAAAATGTGGGTGGGGTAGGTGAAGCACCCACACCTGCACCCACCCTCATTTGTCCCACTCTGGGCCCATGAGCAAGGCCCTTAACCCCCACCATCTGCTCCTCTGGGTGTCCTAGATGCAGCTCTCTGCTCCACTCAGAGGGCTGTAGTAGCTCGGTGGTCTGTGGTTGTGTCAGGAAGGGCATCCGGCGTAAAAATAACTGCCAAGTCTTCGTGCGACTTAGTTCGCTGTGGTGACCCCTTACGCAGGGAGCAGCCGAAAGAAGAAGAAGGAAAAAAAGGGACACAAACACAATAATGATCTCCACCATTTATTTATTTATTTATTTTTTTTGTCTGTGTTCAATTAAGAAAAAAACAAAACAAAAAACAGTGTCTGTCTTTATCTTTGAATGCAACATCATGGTCGCCAGGCTTCACACTAATCCAGGCTTGGTTTGATTTGAGGCGTGACTTAATATGCCATTCAGAATAAGCAGTTTGCTGTATATGACATATGTTTTTGTCATTGATTTTTATTTTTTTTCGTTTGTTTGATCGAATAGCCCTTTTGACACTATGATTAATTACTACAGTCACTAAAGGTTGTTTCATGCTACAGCCAAAGCCGAATAGTCGGCTCATGGTCATATGGTTGGGAGTTGTTTGTTTTCGCTCATACCTTTCATAGTTAAACAGACACACGGCACAGAGCTCATGGAAAACCCCATACCACTGCAGTTTATGTCATGGCATAGGTTTCTTCCCACAAACTTTTCTTCTCCATTCCTGAGCCCACTGTTTAGCCACATAGCTGTCATGAAGAGATAGCCTCACTTTCCAGTAGAAGCACTCCTCTATGCGCACAGTGTGCACACTATATCCTTCCAGGAGTTTGTTTTGATTGCCTCAGCCAACTGCTCCTCAAAGCTGTCCATATTGCTTGCATGCACAACAGCCGCCTTCTGAAAGCGGACGCGTTGAAGTGAAATGACAACAATTCTGTCCGAGAGATTTTAGCATAAACAAACACACTCATGAACTTCTGACCAATTACACAATACTTTGCACATGCTCCAATGAGACAAAGTTGGGCTTGGGCCTTGTGTCAAGAAGGGGCAAACAAAACTACTTCCTGAACAAAATTACATTTTTTTGTCATACAACTATGTCAGTCTTCTTCTTCTTCTTTTGGCTTTTCCCTCTTCAGTGGTTGCCACAGCAAGTCCTCCATCTCACTTTGGCCTCTGCATCCTCTGTCCTCACTCCAACTACCTCCATGTCCTCTCTAACTGCATCCATACATTATATCTCTAATTTGGCCTCCCTCTTTGTCCTTTTCCTGTTAGATGCATTTCTAACATCATTATACCAGTATACCCACTGTCCCTTCTCTGATTTTTGTTTGTTTGTTTGTTTGTTTTTTGTTTGTTTTTAAGCTTATTTGTACATGTAGTCTCATTGAGTCACACTAACTCATTTTCAAGAGAGACCTGTTTAGGGAGCAAATGGTGGGGGTTAAGGACTTTGCTAAAGGGCCCAGAGTGGGAGAAATGAAGGTGGAGGCATGTGTGTGTGTTTCACCTTTTCCACCCACATTTTGATGTTGTCAGTTTGGGGAGTTGAACCTGTGACTTTCTGATCACAGACCCATCTTCTCTAACCTCTGTGCCACCACTCCCAAACCATGGCTGTGGTTGGGAGCATGGACCATGTCCAAACTATCTCAATCTGGTCTCACTAACTGTATCTCTGAGTTGTACAACCTGTGCTGTACCTTTGAGTATTTCATTCCTAATCATATCCATCCTTGTTACTCCTAAGATGTTGTTAGTGTTTTTGTACTACTAGTGAGCATATTCTTAGTTTAACATCTTTCTTAGTTCAGATCTTAGATCTTATTACTGTCTTTCTTTACACATTTACCACATTTTTGTGTAAATGACAAATAAATAAACTCTGACTTTGAGAACCTCAACATCTTCATTTCTGCCACTTCCAGTTCTTTCTCCTTTCTTTTTGCCAATGCCACTGTCTCCAGACCATACAACATAGATGGTCTCACCACTGTCTTGTAAAATTTTCCTTTGACCTTTGCTGACAGCCTTTTGTCACAAATCACTCCTAAAACTTTCCTCCATCCTGCCTGGACTCCCCTTTTCACCTCTTTACCACATTTGCCATTTTCCAGGACAGCTGACCTCAAGTACTTGAAGTCCTGCACCACTGTGACCTCTGCACCTTGTAGACTCACTGCTCCACCGACCTCCCAGTCATTCACACATGTATTCTGTTCTTCTATGGCTGACTTTCATTCTTCTATTTTTAAGTGCATACCTTCACATCTCCAAGTTATCTTCCAACTGTTCCCTGTTCTCACCACAGATAAAAATGTCCTTATGTTTTAGGTCTTATTTATGCAGAAACATAGAACATTTATAAAGGGTTCACAAACTGTCAAGCACTACACTCCAAAGAAAACTACCGTGCTTTCCACTGTACATGTCACATCGACATATACGTTGCATAGGTCGCTAAAAGTTCAAAAATGTCTAATATAGTGGAAAAAAAACAAAAACAAGTTGCTTCGTCGAATAAGTCACATCCATTATGTGTCACCGCTGACCAACTGGAAACATGGGCCGGTGTTGTACCAATAATCGATTGGCTGCCAAATGGCGGCTGTGGGAGCATGCATGAAAGGACTTTAACAATAATTTAACAAGATTAACACTTAAAACTAATTATATGTTTGCTCAAAATTTTAGCAAATGTGTTTCTTCATATAACTTTTCCTTAATAAATGCACTTTAATGGTCAAATCAGCTGAATTTCAAAAATCGATGCGCGTCTCCTGGAATGCGTAGAGAGAGGAATCGCTGTGCATTTATTCAAAATTTAACAAGATGACCACCTAAAAACAATTATTTGTTTGCTCGGCATTATGGTAAAGGTGTGTCTCAGTTGAACTTTTCCTTAATAAATGCACTTTAATGGACAAATCAGTTGCATTTTGCCTGGGCGGCGTGGCAAAATGCAACTGATTTGACATTTCTAAAAAAGTTAAGTCTAGTCCTCTGGACATTCAAAAAACAAAACAAAGCAACAAAAAAAAAAATGTAAAAAGGTTTTGTCTTTCATCCAAAAGACTTCCGAAGTCTTTCGGATGAAAGACAAAACGTTTCTACATTATTTTTTGTTTTGCTTTGTTTTGTTTTTTGAATGTCCAGATGACTAGACTTAACTTTTTTCAATTTTTCTACCTGGATTATTCAGCATGCGTCAGGGTGATTTGATGTTTGCTCCAGGATTTCCGGAGCGAGATGAAGGTGGCTTTCTATGGCAATCCAAGTGTCTCATTAATAACTACGTTTACATATTAATGAGACACTTAGCTTGCCATATTGCTCGAGGGCCTTCTTGAGGCTGAAAACGGCAGTGTTCAATATTTTCTATGTTAGAATGAATGAAATTGTCAGATTTCAGCCAAAAATTGGGTTATAAATATGGGGAAAAAAGTATATTGTTCACTTCAGTGTATAAGTCACAGGACTTCAAAATTTAAGCAAGAAAATGTTCGACCTATATGGTAAAAAAAAAAAAAAAAAGGTAAATAAGATCTTCATTCCTGTATTTCCTTAAGATTTCACACAAAAAATACACTGTACATAGTGTATAGAGAATAAACAAAGCAAAATTGAGGCCACACATTAGCAATGCTGTTCCGATTATTGTAAATGTTTTGTCTCATTCATGTAAACAATCTTTAGCATATTTGTAGTTATTTACTGTATGTATGATAGCTTTTAGTGTCATGAATGTGATATGTATGGTCTGATGTCATCTACTCACATTTACTATGTCCCCTAGCAGGCCTTAGTTTTTGTTTTTTCCCCCATTCTTTTTTTTTTACATCAAAAGTAGTTGGTAACATTGCCTAAACACCAGATTAGCATGATTAGCAGCTGGCTATAATCTCCTAACAAGACATGCTGATTAGATTTAGCAAAACATAGCACTTGGCTATTCAACATATTTAACACATGCACGTTTTGGAGCTAATTCTAAACCATTATCCTCATGCTGTTTATACCCATAAAACATGTTGCATAACAGTGAACCCGCACAAAATGTTATGGCTGCCCAGACTTCAGTGAGATTAGTCAAAAAGTACGTACATTTTACTGCCAAAGCCTACATTATGGTTGTGAAACTAAGATTATATTCTTGTATTAGGAGCAGAAAGAAGTGAACAATCATTAAAGCCAACTATTTTAATGTCTTGTGTTATGTTTGAATTGGTTGATGGGATTTACCTCCGGTAACAATTTTCACTTTTTAACATATTTTATGAGTTGCATACTGCCATTTATTTCATGTTTTTGTTTTTTACCAATCTGTTTTTTATTTTTGCAAAATATTTACCCTTATCACATTTACATGCCCCTGTTGCTGGGGAACATGAGCTGAGAATGTATTGTTGACTTCTTAAGGCTCGCACAGACTCGGGCGGTCCTTAGTCTGTGCAGAAACTGTGCGCTCTGTTCACAGAGGGTTGAGACTTCATACTCAAGCGTCCACCATGAGCAGCTGGAGCCAGTTCCGCAGACACGGGGCGTTTACTTTCTGGACAAACTGAGTTTGCCGATTGATCATTTGCTGACATGCCTACTGGATTGACTGACAAACAAACAAACAAATAAAACAAAACACAGAGCGCTGGCCCTGCAGCCCACACATCAGACCAGCCCACCAGGAAATCTCCAGACTCTCCCACAGCCACGCTGGGCCTGGTTTTTATTTGCTTGTGACAAATTCCTTTATTTTTCACAATTTCAGTCAAGGCATAAAAAGAGGATGAGAAAGAGATGGCTTGGTATTTGGGGAAAAAAAATAAATACAAAAATAAACAAAAAAAAAGGCCATTAAACCAGACCACGAATGAAGAAGGGGAATTTAATACATTGGTGTCACATACAAAACAGTCTGTCGCCAGGCAGTTTATTGTGCGACACCAAGTACGCGTAAGCGGTCATAAAAATTGATCTTTGCGCGGTCATGCTCTGCGGGCATCTGCTTCAAGTCTAATCCAGTATGCGCAGACCTCCGCAGACTGAGGTCCTCGTGACTATATGGGAGCCTTTACTTGTTATTTTGGATTCATTTAAATCCAGTTTATGTATGTAGAAAATGTAAAAAAAAAAATCATATTTCTATCTCTGCGTTTTGCTCCTCAGGTGATCCTTCAGCGGAGGAGTGGTCACCATGGAGTGTGTGTTCCTTAACATGTGGGCAAGGCTGGCAAGTGAGGACACGATCATGTGTTTCTTCTCCCTATGGTACACTGTGCAGTGGTGCTTTGCGGGAAACGCGCATGTGCAACAACACGGTGTCCTGTCCAGGAGAACCCGGAATCATAAGCTCAGGTACAACAAGTCAATGTCTATTGGTGGTATTTTTCCATTGCCCTATTTGATAATACTTTCTAGTTGCTTTTGGTTTCCCAGTTCAATCGATCAAAACGTTTACATATGCATTTGACTCTGCAGGGCTCCCTGATGCTGCTGTGCATTCTGGGATGTTTCATATTTTCTAGTTTTTTTTCTCAAATCACACACTTTATTTTCACCTCGCCCACATTTGCAACAATCAATTGTCTATTTTAAGGTGTTAGGTAAACTGAAGAAAATATTTACACTCTGACTGTTTGTTACTTTTCAAGGAGGTGGAACAAACAAACAAACAAAAAAAAAAAGCATGCACTCATATGTGCATTATGCTCTTTGAAAATGTATTACATCCATGATGGAGGAGAAAATCATGTCAGTTCACTCTGCTGGCTAGCTGAGAAAGACAGAGACTGACAACTGAGCTTGATGTTGGCAAGACTAATAGATGTGACACAGCTCTAAGGAAGACGGTTCCTGACATTTGTGTTCACCAATCCTTAGCTCTTATACTCTAAACATTTTTTTCTAGTGTTTGTAATCACCATAGTGTTTACTTATAGATGTACATGAAATTATGGCCCTAAACACCAAGCATTGTAAGCATACATACAATCCATTACACACACACCACATACAATACAGTCCTTCAATGTTTGCAGCAACATGCTGCATATCTTCTATAAGTCTGTTGTAGAGAGTGCTGTATTTTCTGCCATCACCTGCTGGGGTAGCAGCACCAGAGCAAGTGACATTAAACAGATCAACAAGCTCATAAAGAAGGCTGGCTCAGTTCTGGGGACTCTTCTAGAACCTTTGGAGATGACTGTACAAAGAAAGATTCTTCATCAAATTAGGAACATTATAGACAACCCTCAGCATCCTCTTCATCAGAATGTCATACAACAACAGAGTGTCTTCAGTCAGAGGCTTCTTCAGATCTGCTGTAAGACAGACCACTACAAGAGATCCTTCCTGCCCCCAGTCATCAGCATCTATAACAACTCTTTAATGAAACCAGTATGATGAGTTACAACAACATTTAATTTCCCTCTGGGATTAAAAAAAAGTGTTTTTGAATTGAATTGAATTGAATTGAATACCTCTGAGTTTAGTTGCCGGGGCAAAGACGGAAATTGTTGATTGCCATCAGTTCGCAGTGATAAGATTAATAAGACAAAAACATAAAGTCATAAATACAACTACCTTCTTTTCTTCAATTTAATTATAACCAGTCACATTTAGATGCAGCAACAGTTCAAAAATGTATTCAGCTAGTCATTAAAAAAAAAATATATATATATACATATATGTACATATATGCTCTGCCAATCAGGCTAAGTGCAGTTAGTCATATCGACTTGCTTCAAAACTGCAGCAACAAGCTGATAGTGCCTCATTTATAGTTTTTATTTTATTTTATTTTCTGTAGAAGCACAATCAAGATTCTGATAGGACTTTGTATATAACATCCTGAATAATACCAGGTCTGCTCAACTTTGATTACCAGCATACATAGATGTGTTAAATGAAATGTTGGAGTGCTTTCTGATAGGCACTTGTTTGATTGGCCTGATTGCACTGGTAGTCTGGTGTTGGCCAACCTTTCCCAGATGATAATGAAGCACAACACAAAACAAACAAAAAAATAATAATTCTGTTTGAAAGGATATGGAGGTAGTTGGAGTGAGGACAGAGGATGCAGAGGACAGAGTGAGATGAACAGGGATGACTCACTGTGGCGACCCCTGAAGAGGAAAAAGACTAAAGTAGAAAAAGATAATCACAATTGTCTTCATTGTTTTGCCAACATTTGACAATCCTTTTTCCCCTGTGTTTGTGCCTGTCTGTGCTTTAGAAAATATTGCCAAATTTACCTTATCACCACTTACATCTCTGTTTCAGAGGGGGGAAAACAATGTCATTAACACCTTAAAGGTGCTAGTGTCAATGAAGCTAGCACCAGAAAATAAAGTGCAGTTTTATAATAATAATAATAAATAATAATCATTTTATTTAAAACATCTCTTTCAGGACACCCATGGACACTTTACAGCAAGAAACACAACAGATAAGATTGTGTAAAAACAAACACAGTGTAAAGACCAGCAGGAATAAATTAGAATGTAAAATACATAAAAAATATAAAATACCTAAAACAAAGTTAAGAAGGATAAGCTAGTCTAAAGAGATGTATTGTCAGAGTAGTCTTGAACAGAGGGGGAGAGTGGTGTTTTGTAGGTCTGGCGGTAGAGAGTTCCAGATGTGAGGGGCAGAACAGGTGAAGGCCCTGCTCCCCATGGTGGAGAGGCAGGCCAAGGGTACATGGAGGTGTAGCGAAGAGGAGGATCTGAGAGATCGAGAGGTTATGGACATGTGTAGGAGGTCTGATAGATAAGGAGGGGCAAGATTGTGGATAGCTTTGAAAGTGAGAAGAATGATTTTGAAGATGATGCACAATTTAATTGGGAGCCAGTGGAGCTGCTGCAGGACAGGAGTGATGTGGTTATAGGAGGAGGTTTGAGTGATGACACGGGCAGCTGAGTTCTGGACCATCTGTAGATTCTGAAGAGATTTGTTGGTGAGGCCATACAGAAGGGAGTTACAGTAGTCAATCTGGGAAGTCACAAGACTGTGAATAATGATGGCAATGGAGTGGGGTGTGAGAGAAGGACGGAGACGGTTATTAATATTTTGGAGATGGAAATAGGCAGACTGAGCAACATTGCTGATGTGTGAAGCGAAGGAGGGAGTGGTGTTGAGGATGACACCGATACTCTTGACCTGAGGTGAGGGGGGTAACAGAGAGTTGTTAAGGGGGATGAGAAGATGTTCTGATTTTTAAAAAGAGTTTTTGGTACCTACAAGGATGACTTCTTTTTTGCCACTGTTTAGTTGAAGGAAATAATAAGAAAACCAGTGATGGAGCTCACTGAGACAGTCGGTGAAGATGGCAAGTGGGTGAGTGGAGTATGGTTTTGATGATAAATAGAGCTGTGTGTCATCAGCAAAACACTGGAAATGGACACCAACTTTGCGGAAGATGTGACCAAAAGGAAGGAGTTAAATGATGAAGAGGAAGGATCTGAGGACAAAGCCTTGGGGCATACCCGTGGAGATGGGGGAAGACAGAGAATGGAAGGATTTAAGTTAAATGAATTGAGTGCGGTCAGAGATATAAGATTTGAACCAGTCTAATGGAGTACCTGAGATGCCAATGGAGGTTAGTCTGTTGATGATATAATAACAGATCATGTCAAAGACAGAATTTAGGTCAAGTAGAATGAGGATGGACAGAAGACCAGAGTCAGCAACAAGAAGAAGGTCATTAGTATTTTATATTCTAGCTGTTTTGGTGCTATGGTGGGGGCAAAAAACAGATTGAAACTTGTCCTAAACGTTATTGTTGGATAGGTGAGAGTGAAGTTAACTAGCAACGACTTTTTCAAGAACCTTGGAAATAAAGGGCAGATTAGAGATCGGACGAAGATTATTGAAGTTATTATTGACTGACAACATCAAAATGTGGGTGGGAAAGGTGAAGCGCCTACACCTGCCTCCACCATTCCTTGTCCCAGTCTGAGCCCTTAAGCAAGTGCCTTAACCCCCACCATCCGCTCCCCCGGGAATCCTAGATGGCAGCTTTCTGCTCCACAAAGAGGGCTGTGGTAGCCCTGAGGTCTGTGGTTGTATCAGGAAGGGCATCCAGCATATTAACAATTGCCAAGTCTTTGTGTGAGTTTGCTGTGGCGACCCCCTGAGGAAAGGAGCAGCCAAAAGAAGAAAAAAAAAATCTAAGTTATTTCTTCAGGAAAAGAAAAAGAGCTCTAATTTTAGCCAAAAATGATTTTTTCTTTTTTTTTTTTTTTTGCTGAGTTATACAATCATGTTCTGGTGCCAATGCAAGTAGGCATTGGTTAAAAGACAAGGTTCATCCAAAACACAGTGCCAACATGTATTTATTAATTTTAGTTTTTGTGTTAGTTTTCATTAAAATGTTTGTTTGGTGTTTATGTAAATACAAAATGCTCTATAATATTGACATAAACTTAAAAACCATGTTGTCACAGAGTATTTACCATAATGCCAATTTATGATGTGCTCTTGTAGAAACACTTTAAAAAAATGTTGTTTTTTTTTGTATCCTCATATAAAAACTGCATATGAACTATTTGTTTTGTGTCTTGTTTTAGGATAAATGTTCTGTTTCTGTCTTTCTTTTGGAGTTGCTAGTTCTTATGTTTAATCGTCTATATGCATTTCCATAGTCAAGTTTGCATTTTCTAAACGTGTACTTTTGTACGATCTAGGAGTTTTACTTGTGTGTTGAATGTGTTTACTCATCCAACTCCCTTCCTACAAAAAGAGAGGGAAAATTCTCTTTCCTTGTCAGTGCATATGCTAATCTTGTCTTTATGCAAATGTGCCAGCTCGATTTGTATGTCTAAGTGCCTCATTTTCCATTCCGTGTCTATATTAATATCCTCAGCTGCTCCTTTGATGGGATATTGGTTGCAGTGTTATGTTCTGTTTATTATTTCATTTAGCCCTCCATTTCTCTGATGTTTTCTGACATCGTTCTGAAGGGGGTTTATGGGCACTCCAGGGATTGCCTGAATGGGATCACACAATATCTAAGCATAGTAAGACTGTGAGGATGGTAACGAAAAAAGACTAAAAAGTCTAAAGAACTTGAATTGGACTTTTAAGCAAAAGATGAGGCAGAATTTTTAAGCTTACTTTATTTATTAATCTCTTCAACAATGAAGTCAAGCTGTTTCAATTTTTGCATGAAGTTTATTGAAATCACAATTTAACAACCTAATGGGGGAGTGGTGTAGAGGTTAGAGAAGGTGAGCCTGTGATCAGAAGTTTGACGCTTCAATTTCCCAGACTGACAACATCAAAATGACGGTGTTAAAAGGGAAACACCCATACTTGCCTTCACCCTCATTTGCCCCAATCTGGGCCCTTGAGCA